CGCGAATTCATCACGCGGATAGACACGACGGCAAACTCGACGCTAATTGAATCGTGAAGCTTTTCCCCTAATAAGAAGCTCAAATACATTAGCATCCAATCCCGGTGGTACGTGGTCGGGGAAATAATTCGTGCGATTCCATTTCTCTCCTGCGACAATCGATCCGTTCATTGCATTCTAAGGGGATGAGGTCGCGACACCGATCCGTGTGCACAACATTGTTTCGGTTATCTTAATTACATTTTCATTCCTGCTTTATTTTGGCATTATTACACGCAGCCTGTAAAGAATTAATCAATTATAATATTGATAATTTTCAATTAATAATCTGGATGATATCGAATTGACTCTGAATTGACTTAGCAAATCGATTTTTCACGATTCGATTTTATTGTTGTTCCGCACAAAGGGATAAACGGGGATTAAATTTTAAAAGGCCGAACGGACTATCGGTGCGGTTTGCGGAGAGCTTCGCAAAGAGAGAGAAAAACTAAATTAATCACCGGAGCCGAAAAAAGGAGAGGGAAAAAAACAACCAAATGCGTTGCTACATCGCGTATCCACATCTGAAGTCTATGAGATTAGCCGTTTTACTGTGCATCGTTGCTATCGCTTTTCGATAACAGCGCGTCGTTGGGTATTACTCAACATCAACAATTCAATCCGTATTTCCCCGGAGGAATGGCTGCCCGCGTTGGTGTATACCGCGTGTCTTTTGGGAAATACGTTGCTGTAATCTAGCGTTACATCCAGCAACCGTCGCGTCGCCGCACGGCAGCAACTATTACGGCTCCAGCTGCGTCGGATAAATCATTTTCATTATCGCCGTTCAGGCGGTACGATGCTCTCGCAAATTATCTTTAACGTGCGCTTGCACGCACTAGACGCGAAGAGGCTCCGCGATAACTATCGAAAGTTCACGATTTTCGGAACGTTGCACAAAAGTTTTCAAAAGCTTCTTAAAGACAAAGTAGGAAACTCGACCTGGGAGGAGCAACGTTACACGCGTGCTCGGATTTATCGCTCTTTTCCTTTATTTTTCGCATCGTCTCTTAAGTACGACGTACACATCGAGTATGTAAATCAATAACTAATAGATACTCTATACATATATAAATTTCTCGAAATAAGTTTCTCCTTTTTGCGCGCTTGCGCGAATAATTCGATATTGAATTAAGCACTTAATTAAACATTTACGATCAATTAGCGTTATCATATTTCCACAGTCCGCCGGATCGATCGAATGTGTCTCGCGCGAGTTTTTTTTTCACTTAAATGAGATAGAGAGGGGCTCCTGTTCCCATGTACCAGGACGGGATACCGAGAACTTTGGTACATCTAACGCGGTAATCGATACGACTTTTACACGGGCGGATAGATTGCCTTTCCGAGTAATAATTAGCGTCTGGCTCGAAGTTTATCGTACCGCCGCGAGTGTAATTTCCCCCGAGGATAACGGAACGGCCGCATTGTAAATTTGTGGATACACGTGGATAGCCTGAACACATGAAATATCTTCAAACTGAAACCAAAATCCGGATTCTCATCATGTTTCCAGATGCTAAGAATAATCTTTATCTTTATTGCCTATAAGTAGATAATGATTGTTTTATCAACGTTAAAGACGATGATCCGTAAGGTTAAGTGCTTCGAAAATTTCTAAAACTTATTTACGTATGTACTGAAAATATATTATTTATGTACCTTTTTACGCCAACTAGCGAAAGCTTTTTTTTATATGGTTTATATTTTATTCTCTTCTTTCTTCTTTCTTCTTGTGAATTATTAAAAAACTTGTGGTAGAAAAGATTTTAAGGTGAAACGTTTGATCGATATTTCGTGAGTAAGCGTGTGTATTATATTACGTTATATTTATTATGAAATAGTACATATTTAAAAATAATTTTATATTTATGTATTTTATTACACAAGTTAGTTAAAAATACAAAGATCATAAAATATTAGTTAAAATTCAACTTTTTGTTGATATTTCCAGTCAAAGAAAAATACTCTGACTTTTTCCGCTTTCCCGAGAAAGAGTTGAACAGCCCAGGAACCGATGAACTGCGAAAACAGTTAATGTTTACCTGTCATGTTTTGTTTTTGTCTTTTAGGTGCTTTCATTAACAATGACATGGACAAGCGCATGTTATTAAAATTCGCAAAAGTTTTCATTATGCATACCCGTGGGATATGTTACGGTGCGAAATAAGAGAAAGAAGATTATTTCTACACATCTATACGTATACATATATTTGCTACTAAATGCTCGGCTACTAAAATTATCCTTACGCGACGCACGCCTAAATAAAGATTAATTAATAGATAAATTAAAAAGGTCAAATGCTGACGTAGCTTAATTCCGTTCGTTAAGATCGCGCATCTCCCTCAATTTTGTACCGTCGCGATGACGGCGGGATATTCTCCGAGGAAAGGATTCTCCGGCGTGGTTATCCGGTTGCTGTTGAAACATTGATTTTTCAAGAAAGTCTACTCCAAATTGTCCAAATACGGTATGGTTAAGGGAATATCTGGTATGTTCTCCGGGACACCCTGTATACATGCCTTTTTACGGCGCACTTTTCAGCTTCATCCGGTTTACATAGATACTTTTAGCCCTTCACGTATATCCAGGGCGTGCAAACAGCTTTTAGGAGGCCACCGTTGCCGCTCTTATCGGTACAGCATGATATTCCTGTGCTCTAGCAAAGCTTTTTTTAAATGGAGTGTAAATCTTGTGCTTCTTATGGCGCATGTAGTGTGCAAAAACGGATGAAACGACAACATACGAGCGGAACGCATTTTCTTTCAATTACGTTTAATGCCTTTGGGAGCAGGGCTTTCTTTGTCGAGCATGTTAAATTCCATTAAGAAACTTGCTAACGAGAAACGTTAACTTTGAACTGATAAACTCTGCCTGAAAAATCTGTCCGAGTACTTTTAAATAAATATTTAAGTGTTTAAAATATTTGCTAAAATATTTATTACATATTTTAGTGTCGAAAAATAATGTTTTTGAAATCTCGTTAGAATATGTACCTTTTATTTTTGTAGTAAGACATAAACTGTTAGAATTATAAATTAATAACCAATCAAATATTTAATATTACTAAATAATTTATTACATTATTAATAACATTTATATAAATAATAGCGTTCAGTCGAATTTAATATCAAGAAGACACTCTTAGCGAAAGATGATAACAGTTAATATGGAACGAGTTGCAATTAATTAAAAAATTCAAATTATTAGATAAAAAAAAATTACAAACTTACGATGAATAATAACCTCTCTCTCGACGTTTCCGCTCCGAGGAAAGATCAACTTCAGATTGGTCAAAGAATTCGGAGATGAAAAGTGGCTTCACTAAGATCTAGGACACCGTGTATAAGAGAGAGTTATTAACTCGAGCCTGGGGAGAGTAGCCGTATTCGCTTTGCTGTATGTATTTCACTAGAGAATTTAATAAGCCGTCTGCCTTTCCCGCATCTTCCTCCTCCCCTCTTCCACTTCTTCTTCATCCCTTGCATCCATCGTAGTGGAATGCATTCGATCCTCGAAACAGCACTTTCCGCTAACTTATAACCCATAGCGTATAAACGATCTACTGCAATGTTACTCGGTTAAAAAAAGAGCTATTATAAAAGAGATATGAAGCGACGTCTGGTATCTTACGAGCGCATAACAAATTTTGAAAAGTATTTAAAAAACTGAAATCTTTTTAGATAATAAATACGAAACATTTATCATCTGTTATATTATATATGTATAAGTATGCTTATTTAATAATAGCCATCAAAGGATTTAACTTTTGCATGTGCATATCACGTAAAACAAATTGTTAGAAAATGACAATACTTATGCATACATGCAAAAATCAATTCTCTGACGACACTATTATTAAGAGCACATACATACTTTTTCATTCTAGATCATATATATACCCTAGTTATTTTACGCGCTCTTTCATACAGCTTCCATAAAATTTATGTTTGCGTTTGTATTCATTAAGCCATAATGGTCTCATTTAAAAGGATTGAAAGGGTCTCGTTTTCTAACGAACGCGTTTGTCCTGTGACACAACGCTACCCGTATATTAATTACCTGCTGAAAAGCTATTGTGCAAGAGAAATGTCCTTTCAATGCGTATCTCTGGCTGTGTCACTACCAAAGTTAGTAAATAAATATAAAGCGCAAGATGGTCTGTACGCAAAAATTACAGAAACAATATGAGTACGTGCATTATGAAAAAAAAAAAGAAACTATCGCTCTATTTCCCGTAATATAAATATGTGTCAGCGTTTAGATATATGTAATCGCTGACTATATAGATATGGACAAAGAGATTTAATTCATCTTGTTTCTAATATATACATTTGTTCTCCGCGACACGGCGCGTTCGCTATACTAATTATTTCGACATTGTTCACAATCCGAGAATACCACGTTGTGCGCGCAACGTTTGTTAATTGGTCACAGCAGCATTTGATCGGGTTCGACCAAACAGACTGGTTTGTTTGTACCGAAACGCAATAACGCACTCAACGCGGTCGTGTTTCAAAACTGTATCTCTCTCTCTTTCGGTAAGATCCAATATCCGTTTACGATCGTTGCGAGAAAATTATATTTCGCATCGGAATAGCACGATTTCTCGATATCGTGCGGGACGTTTTAAAGCTTTGCTAAAAATTTAAGGTGGAAAATTTCCACATCAGTTAAAATCATATCATTTATTCATCCAAGATGAAAATTTGCGAGATTAACGTTAACGTTCTTTTTGTATTCATATTCTGCGTCGTCTTATGGCTTATCGATTTATCAGCAACTATTATCCCGCGCGTCCTTTCGTCTTTCGATATATATATATATATATATATATATCGGTTATTACCACGGCTACGGGTAATTAGTGTTAATTGAACGAAGAGTGAGAGCCGTCCTGGTCTGCTCGTGGGCTCGAGCGAACGATCGTTTAACGGCCAATTAAATCTCTCGGCAGGTTGCGCCGCTTCTCGACGACGGGATTGCCGTTGTTTGCCGTTGTCTTGCGATTACCAACTATTCCAGGACCAATCCAAGACCAGCGGTCAAATTGGGCGAGATGGGGTGAGTGTGACCAAAAAGTTACCCGGTTAAGCGAACTAGTTTTGGATTAACTCCCAAGACATAATATCGATTTGCGGAATTGCTATCCGAAAATACATTGATACATTCTCTCTTTACTTTAATGAAGAATATGTCTCTTTTTTTTTTAATTCGTTTTCATTGCGTTTTTATTTAATTTGGATATTTTTATTTTTATAACATTTTTCTAGAGGATTTAGGATTAAGATCGATAAGCAGCGTGTGATCAAAATGGTTGATGTGGCGACCAATCAGATTAATTATTATAACGCTGAAAAAATCATATTACGTCCTGAAAGAGTTTAACATTCATATCTCCTCTCAAAGAAAACGAAAGGTATAAATTTTAAATAAAATTCTTCATCTATGGAATAAAGATTCCTATTTTGTACTAAAGGCATCTATTTTCGAAATTAAACATTTGTGACACATGTATTTCCTTATTGTTAAGCGTCGCTGCAATTCTACTCGCGTTAATCGCGGTACGAAGAGAGAATGAGAACTTGTGAAATCGTCAAGGCAATAACTTGAAGAAGAAGGATCTCCCATCTTCTTATGTCAAACGTATTTTCGTCGAGACGCTCGTTTCCAATGAGATTCTCTTTCGCTCAAAGAGCACAAAAGCACATCTTCTTCCCTTGTCTTCTCACTTCCACGATTCTCATTTCCTCTGGAAAGGGATTGGAAGATTCCTCCGTTTTGGTCTCGCCCGTGCTAGTTTCGCGCTTAATCCACCAAGTCCACCTTCCGGTCTTCCTCATTTCTCTTTCGCTTCCTTCATTCGCGATACAAAGCGATTTGAACTCACGACCGGAAGGATAGGAAGACACGCGATAATCCGATTAAAAATGGATTTCATCGATAGGAGCGAACGCGCGCGCTGTTGTCAAGCAACCGCGAAGTTAAAAGGCTTCAATCTCCGGTCGATGTTCATTCTCCACGCACCTGTTGAGCTCATTAACCAAGTGAATTTACATTTATTCGCTAACCCTGTTTCTTCACGGTAAATTTCCCCCTAAATAAATTATCAATTACGGAATATTGCGCGAAACTAGAAATAGAATCGTTAAAAAAACTGGAGTGTTGCGACATTAAAACATCGGAACGGCTTCTTCAGCTCTCGATTTATATTTGTCGGCGTATTTGCGGAAATAAATGGAGGGCGATAAATAATTCGGCGGAAGGGAGGCGCGAATACCTCGAGGGCGCAAAAATCCACGTCACACAGAGCCGGGCGGCGCGACGCCCGGCTCTTCAGGATCTAATTAACTCACGATGCGTTAAAACTCCATAAGAGCGCTCGTATCGCGCGCATGAAATATCGCGTCATATCGCGAGCGCATGAATATCCGCGTCGAAATATACGCAGCGCGCATTGACACGCGAGATGAGTACACTTGTGGGATTCGCGCGTTTTGATCAAACGGAAATTAGAATTCTAATTTCCGGTATGCTTATCGTGTCGCCGAAGCCGTACATATCGGGTATCCCAAGTTAATAACGTGCTTCTCTGCAACTGCAGCATTCTCCAAGAAAAAAACTGTAGAGATCAAGAGAGAGAGAGACAGAAAGAAAAAGAAGGAAAATTAAATTGATTGCTAGATATTTACAATTTAAATATTTTTCTTTCAAACGTTATATATAGCATTTCGTATTATTTTTCAACGTTATAATAAAATCGTTGGGCCAGTGATATCGACGAGGAAACTGCCAAGGAAAAATCGATTCCAATTTGTCGCCGGCGCCTGCAGTTAAAACGTCGCCTGGCAACTTTAGGCGACAGGCACACCCTGTGTCATTTATTCATCGCGAACGAATTATGAGCGCGGCGAGTGGAAGCTCATTTTAAGCGCGCCGATCGACGCCACCGGGGAGCGACGGAACCGATGTCGAAATCGAATCCGACATTTCCACTGAGTCGTGCAAATCAACGGATGAATTATTCATCGACGAACGGTGCCGTTGCCCTCCTTAAAACGTCATTCGTGCCCTTGTTTCGTCCTTCGTTTGATCGCATTCGGATCGATAAGTTGATAAAACGCGTGACTACTGATCGGAATATGACATACACGATGTGATATTGTAGAAAATGTTCCGTCGTTCTGACTATCGTTTCGCTTAACATATTCATTGTGCACAGAAGGAAAATTTTATGACTCACGTGGAACAGTGAATATGTTGATTTTTGTATAACAATTCAGTACGATGCGTAATCTTATCTCGATCTCCATTCTTTAAAAGTTTTTTTAGACAGTATTATTAAATAATATTATTTCAAGTAACAATGTAATATTCTCAATAATATTGTATTTTTATATGAAAATTATATGTATTATTATTAATTGTTATTTTTATATTCATATTTACGAACTTTTACAGCATTAATTGCTTCGAGAACTATCATATTTACTTATTGTTAGTAATAAAATGTACATTACTGTTAAATATGAAGTTTTAATATAACTATCATTTTTACGCTAATTTTTATTAACTGGGGCACACAAAGGTCTCACTTGAGCTTTTCTTAGCAACATTTTGATCTTATATCGAAAATACACCGTAAATAAGATACGAACGACAATTTCTGTGTCGAGTGCTGCTAAATTATTAGGTGACCAATCTATTATTTCGTAAGACAGAACCGATAAACAATTCGGCACATTACTCACGAGAGAAATCACGATAGAAGCAACAAAAGGATAACTTTACCTTCCGGCGAGAGACCGATCCAACGACGGAAATCCCTATTTATGGCGACTATTCCCGACACACGTGCGCCGGATATCCCCCGCGAGAATCCTGCGACGTGCCATAAAGCACGCGGTTGATCTCTGGATAGATCCAAAATCGATGACTGTCTATCGTATTGCATCGCATGGCAAGACGAATAGGCGCCTCTTCCCAATGGGAAACGACGACGGGAGGAAGAGGGAGGGAGGATCGTATTAGCTTGTGATTGTATCAGCTGTTCTCGCATCTTGTACCAGATGAAGCAGATATAAAGCAGTTTTGTAATTGTAAAAATTGTTATAAGGAAAATCTTAAATTATATTTAATAAATTAAGTTATTGTTCTGTGTATGTGTCGTACTTCCAAATATTTCCATTTGTTAAGACTTTCGGGCTCTTTTATGAAATAAAAATAACGAATAACAGGATGCGTTTGATAGCTCGACACAATTAAAAAAGTGCTGCGAGCACTTAAGCCGATTCTCGTTTGCTATCGCTTTGATATCGCCTCTCGTTCCGCGCGTTTCTCTCTTCCTCTCTTGTTACAATTGAAAACGTGATCGACTAAGCCACTGTGCGCCGAAAATACTTCTCGTTAAAAACGAGCGAACGTAGCGCGCGCGAGGACCAAACTATTCTTCGCGTTTAATTCACGCTCGATTACGCGCAGATGCGCGTGGAAGAAAAAGGCGATTAAGGGATTTTGCGTCGCGACGCATTTCCGTATCTTCTCAATCCCTGAATCTCTCTCTCCAGGTGTTAAACGAGAAACGACGACCGCGGCATTATCGGCACTTCTGGGATATCGTCGCCGCACCAACGCACGTTTTAATGGTCGCAGATTTTTTGCTCTCCTCCCGATACACATTCGGAGGCGATTTTTTCCTCGGCAAAAATCCAACTGATTGCCACAGTGGTATCGCGGATTTTATTAACACGATTTTATTAACTTCGAGCAGAAAACCACAGCGCGCGAGTTATCCTCAAATCATTGAATGTCCCTTCAAACTACGGATTCTTTGGAGTAAGCCTTAGCGAAAAAGTCGTGGAAGATAATGCTATCTCCCGCATGAGATCCCCGGATGTCCCATAAATTGGGATCCCAGAGATTCAGTCGAATATCGTGTACTATGTGGGGATTGTAACTCGCGCGAACATCGAAGTGTAACCGATCCGTAAACCGTAACGTTAGTCTCCAAGACTTAGCTGCAAATACGTAGAAGCCTATGTGGATTACGCAGGATGATTGTAATGTCTCTGTTCGCAGATTGTTAATTAATGAACTCGCTTTTGCTGCAGTGAATAACAGAAACGCAGCTGAAAGTCTAAAATGTTACATAATTAAATTCCAATTAACACTTCCTCTATTATCATTTTTTTTTGCAAGAAGTTATTTGAAAAGCTAAAAGTTAAAAGGAAAGGATTTCTTTCATTTTCACAGAACGATATATACGTTTCTACTGTGGAGTCGACAAGAAGAAACGACGTAAGTATCTGAATATTATCAGCTGCGTGCAGCCGATCTTCCTTTTCTCGCTTTCCCGTTCACAAACGGCGAGAGGTTCCTGGCTGTTTCGCGATAGTATCGATTTTCCATTTCTTTCACTATAAACTCGCAAGAGGAATCGCGTCGTTATTATATAATCGTTATAATGTCGTTAGCATTAAATACAACCGGGATCAGTATTATAATGCATATACCAGCGATTTCTAATCCCTTGTATTCACTTTTGTTTACACAGATTTAATTAAAAACTGCGATCTTTTCCCTGGCGGAAAGATCAATCAAGCCTTTCTGAAATATCTTAATATGCGACGAAATTTTATATAAATTAACCGAATTCACAGTTAATTAATAATATACGACTCCTACAGTCGGATTAAATTTATGTTAAACTGAAGAGTAATTGACGAAATATTCCATTATCGCGATATTTATCATTGGTTTCGTCATTTTTGTCGCGAGGGAGCGGATATGGAAAGCGGATTGGAAAAGTAAAGCGTAAAGCACATTACGTGCATATTTTTCATTTCTGTCAGCTTTACGCTTTTCTTCTTACTTTTAAAGCCGATTTTACAAAAGCGCTCCCGTTTCGAACGCAGTTGTAGCTTCGGATGCGAATGGTTCTCTAATTACTTTGCCCTCTTTTCGATGATATTCTGTTTATTCGCCAATAGAGGGACTGTCTCGCGTATAAAAACGTTCGCAAACGACAACAAAAAGGGAGCGAATTCAAATACAAATACGAATGGGAGGAGCGCATATTTCTCGCTGGCGGTATTGAAAAATTGAGTGCTCCGGCAAAGCTTGGAATCGCGGCTTCCCAACTCGTGCCCATTCTTTTGCTTCCCATTCTCCGGTGAGGATTTGGGGTCGTTTCTATATATTTTTGACTGTTTTCCGGGCCGAAAGGTCGCGTGGAAAATATCGACCTATCCTCTTGTGGATATATGATCCCGCATGGATATATACGACAGTACGTCGATAGTAACCGATGCATAAGTCCTCCGTCGTTTTTCATTCGAATTTCAGATACAAAAAAATTCATCGTTCTGCTTACAGAATTAAAATCCATTTATTAGACAAAATTTTTTGAAAAAGTCACGCAATTGCACATTTTTTAGAACGTAGTTTTGGTGAGTTATTTAAAGAAAAAAAAAGAACAGAACCGTACGAAATGGGAAATCCTAATGATTTGCCCGCTATTTGCACTTCGAGACTACATCGTCCCACTTTCTCGACGGCGCATATAAATTGAATTCAATTTCCGTGTTTCAATTGTAATAAAAACTAGTAAAAGTGGGAACTGTTACGACAGGCATTCGTCTGTTTAAAGGATCGCGCCAGAATATATTAAATGCGGTGAAAACTTATCGGACATATTGGAGACCCCGCGTGTGCAGCCTCCATCCTCGTTTCTCTTGCGCGTCTCTCTCGCCTCTCTCGATATGTTATGGAGATGCAATACGCACTACGTATTTTATCGCTCGCTTCTCGCTGTATGTAGGTTACATCTCGCGCGCGCGCGCGATACACCGACAAAAGCAAAAGCAAAAAGACGTAGTAAAAGACCAGCGAAAGAAAGAATAGCGCGTGCACTCTCTGGTCGATGCGCCGGTAAAAGAAATTTACGGTCGTGAAATGCGAAATCATCGTTTCCCACGGGCACTCTGGACGAAATACAAATCAACTTGTCGACAACAAGTATATTTTCGCGAAGTTACTTCTATATATTGCATCCCCATAAGAAATCCGCCACGAACCGAAGAGATTGAATTTTCGCAAAAGGAAGATTTTGAAGATTAGTAGACGAAAGGCAGAAGCTATCATTTTTGAAGAATTTGATTTAGCAATAAGATATTATTTGACTTCACTTTCTATCTTCTTTTGTCATTTACTATTATCTCTATTATTTGCGATCGTTAACACAAGTAATCAAGCAAGGACAATTACTGGTTTAAGCACGTCGATATAAGTACATGATGTTCTGTAAATATTTATTCGACCAAATGTTTCCCAAGCTCTTCCAAGCTCGGGAAGTTGCCGTTTCAAACGGAGTCTGCGAAAGCCTGCAGCTATATAGATGCAAGGGGATTAAATCTGTTTCCCCTCCTTCTCTCTCGGCTGCTTCTCGGTTTCGGAGCATTCTTGATCCAAGTATCGAGAGCCCGCTGGCCATTTCCGGCTCTCGTCGCAATCCACGCACGTTTCTAATATCCTGAAGCGCCGAAAAGCGCGATACGAGAGATATTTCTCGATAGATATTTCTGAGGGTTATCGATTTTCTTTAACCGCGCGAACGCTACTTTCAGCAGGAAATTGCATTAGGTGCTTCCTGTTTTCCTTATCGCGCGGAACTTTAAGACTTGAGATACGGAGTCCGGTAATCGGCTCAAAATTGGAAAGAGTTCCCCGTACATCTTTCACCTCCCGTTATTTAACGCTTGTCTTAATCCGTTGCAGCGAGGATTTTTAAATGCAAATAGGTACAGGGTGTCCTAGAATCGCTGGAGAGTGATTAGAGAGATAGATAGCGTTATCTCTTGCGGTTTTTATTGGCGAAAAACGGTCGAGAAACTGATAGTTTCCGAGTTGTAAGCCATTGAAGATATGAAAGTAAGCGATTTCCGAGGATTAAACTTTGAAGCCGCAAATAATTAGTGAAACGTCATCTGCTTTTCAATTTGCAGGACTTTAACAAAATATTAATCTGGAACTAATCAATTTAATCTTTACATGGATAACTAAAATAATTTAATATATAATATGATTTAGCACACACACGTATATATGTCTATATTAAACTAACAGAATGAAATTACGAATCGAAATAAACGATATAATAGATATATATATATATATATATATATATATATATATGTGTGATGGAAATATGTATCGCAACTGTATCTAGTTATCGATATCGCTCCAAGAATACAACTACCGTGACGCTTTGACATCTGCTGATAAATTATGTTCTCAGTCGGAGTAATGGGGCGAAACATGGTGAAATGCAATATACGTAGGTTATTTAAAAAGCCGTTTAAAAATTCGTTACGAACCATTGCCCGCGGGCATTCGATATAAATTGAGAACGATCGCGATGCAAACGACGGGTTCGTTATAAAAAATCTATTTTTAGTACGTGACCGACAAACTGAATTGGATAGCTTTTATATAAAATTGACGATTTGACCGTCTCCACAGCGGTTTGCGAACTTGTAGAAATTAAAAAGGATCTTTACGTAAGAGCTGCTTTGTGCTACAACTGTATATTGGTGTCTCAGATCTCTCTATTGAAACTTTCCATTATTTTTCAATATTAAAAGTTAAAACTTTAAGACTACAATACACATTAGTTTTATTTATTATTATTGGGAGAGACTGTAAAATTCCTTAATTATTAAACTGCTACAAAGGACATTGAACTATCACGAAAGTAGAATTTTTCAGGATAAATAAGTTGGTTAAACTCCCAGAATTTTTAAAATTCCATCCAGTATTCTTTTACACACTACATCGCAAATATAATAATGTGTGAAAAATTATCATTATTATTATCCACCGTAAATTCGGATTGTACGCTTTTGGTTCTGGAATACATCTTGTACGTAGAGTTCCATTACGAATTCTGTCGGGAATAATGGATCGTCTAAAATGGTTCTCTGGACTCAGACGAGGATGAAACTACGAGACTTGATCTTCTGTTTCGCCGCGAAGAAAATCGATCGGTTACGTTTGCGGCGAGATCGCGTGGCTTAACTTCATTTGGGCGCCGTTTCAGGATACGGGATATCCCAACGGATAATAATTCTCCAATACGTAGGGTAGTCGTCTTGAATTATGATACATTGCAGACGAGAAAAATTGCTCGTTGGTTACGCACGCGAACTGGCAATACGTAATTTGCCCTATTTAATATTGGATTAACGATTATCAAATCACGATTAATCACGAGCAATAGAATTAACATAATTTATTAATTATGATAATTTAACGAATTAGCATACATTATCGAGCATGTACTCTATCGCATTACTTTATTATAGCGGCACCGATAACTCGCACGAGAAGTTGCCATCGAAATTGCTGTCTTTAAAATTGTTTTAAAAAATTTAACGTTCTTATTTTTTTTGCTTTTTAAAAATTAGTGCACCAATTTTAAATCATCTGTGACTTGCGACAGAATTTTATTCATTTACAATTTTATGCGCGCCGCATGAAGCAGAACACATTCGCAGAATCGAAATGCAAGCGTAGAACGCATATATCAGAGTGTATACACGCGCAAATCATAATGCATGGCACATAAAATCATAAATGAAATCCCGTTCTGAATTCTGTCGCGAATTATATATAGATCGTCTAAAATGGACTTTACCGTAATCAATAATTGCTTTAATCCGATTACCTGCGACACATTACGATATTGTTTATCGATAAAGTTGAAGGAAGCATTTTTTTTCATGCCGCAGTTAAAAGGCTAAAGGTTAATGGCAATATTTCACGCGCAATTAAGTGGGCAGTGGTCGTTAAAGTGGACGATATCCACATTTGACCCACTTGCATCCCGTTTTCATCCCCCATGACGATATTGGAACACCGAACGGCGAACGGGCAAGTCTCGCGGCGGCGAAACAGTTAACTTTCGCGAAAATTTGTACCGTCAATAATAAACCGGCCGCCCGATGAGATCGGTGCAATCAAATGACATGAGGCAATAAAAGCGAACCGGAATTTCATTTTCGCGATATATTCGTCGGCGTTGGATTCGCACGGTCGATGCCGGCGGACGACCACTCCCTCCCCGGGGTAGTCCGACAAATCCGAATTATTTCTCGCTGCGAGACGATAAATCGAACGATTAAATCTCGCTCGAGGGCTGACCCATCCCGACCAAAATGTAGCGCGCCGAAGCGGAATTAAAAGGGTTACAAAACGCGTTACGCGAACGCGAGTCCGGGGTTGAAATTTCGCGAATACCTACGCGTAGACGGCGTAATTAAAATTTATTCGCCGGCGTATTTCGCGAGTATTATTCTCGTGGAAAATCGATAATATGGAGATAATAAAAAATCATATAGTACTACATAAACTGTTTTTTTTTTTTTTTCAGTTTGTATATCCTACGAAGAGAGATATTGCGTAATGGGAAGATTTTTATTCAATATATATCTAATATTATTGTTATGGGATGCCTGTGGAATCTTTTTCCGCGATATTCTTCGGTTGCAGTATTCTGTCGTCGTTGTCAGCCAAAATAACATCCTCTTGAGCGTTCGTGAAAATTGTTGATCCTCTGCAAAGGAATTGGATTGAAAAGAACACGTCGGTATCACACTGACGGTTTTGCATCGGGACAATGCATCTTGCGCGAGAGTTTTCGACCACACCAAAAACACTTCAGTGCTCCCACACTGTACTCTTCTTCGTCGCCTTCGTCGCCAAACGGTAACTTCTTTCCTCCTCGGTAGACCGAGGAATCACCCGAAAGGACATTATTTTGAGACGATCGATAACATCCAGAGCGTCGTAACCGAATCCTTCGAAGAAGAAAACTCGCGATGGTACTCCAAGAGTGGGAGGACTTCGCGGGGAATTTATTTTCGAGGAGACAATTGGAATTGCTGCGAAGTTCAGAAATTCACATACACCAGAAACTGTCAAAGAAGATACGAGAAGGATTAAAGAAGTAATTATATATATTTTATTCATTTTTTTTTCTTTTTACTTCTTCCTTTTATTATTTTAGACGAAAGGTTTCGTAAGCGCTAAGAGATATTTAAAATTACAAATAATTTTTTTTGCTTTTTTTTTTTAAAAACAAGATATAAAAATTGGAATTTTTTTAGCGAAGTTTCGATGGTTGTTATTGTTATCTTCGTGAACGAAATTCGAAAGCTCATAGGAAGCACGTCTATCTTCCGTCAATTTTCCGACATCCTGTGTACAACAGCTTTGATGCATGGTCAAATTAAATTCGACATTTGTTTAACTTTTAACTCGATGCGGTTTAGGTCGCGCGCGAGCGCGAGTACGAACGTGGGCTTTCAATTAGCGTGCAAGCTCACGCGCGAACCGATGTTGCATTTGCGCTTCCGGATTCACGGTTTCCGGTGCTCGGTTTCCGACCGCTGATCCCGGCAGTTTCCCCGTTAAAAATCGGCGAATCAGAGAGTACGTTTCACTATGTAAACTGGGCGATTTATATTGTCGTTCGGTGAGTTTCTAACAATAAGCCGCAGATTTCGTCTTCGTTAAAAGGTGTAATAAAAGGTTTTTCTCAAAATTATATAACGGATAATAAATGGATATTACGATTTACATAAAAATATATAAATTATAGTTACGTTTTTCTCTGATTATTAATATATTTCAATATTTTAGAGAGTGAATCTTTTTTGTGCAGCGGGCACTTCAGCACGTTTCGCATACTGTAAAATATTAAAGATTCATACTGAAAATACTCTGTGGAGAATAAAAATAATCCATCAAACTTCTGATAAGCAAAAATTGATTCCAAATTCATCAAAGA